CGAAACGGCCGTCCAGTACTTTCGGTTTTTCCCTGGTGGTCTAGCTTCAACTGACTCACGCTTTTAACTATGAAAATACTAAATCTCCACAAAAACCCTTCTGATAATAGTATTATTATTATTATATTGTCAATATATCCATCATCCCTGTATTGTATTTGTATCCTTTAAATAAATTACATTATCTCAGCTAAATGTGAAAATTGTACGTTTTTTATTTTTTAGACAGTTCATGTTAAGTTTTATATATTTCTGTTTTATTCATAACAAACTTCCGTTTATTGCATTTTTCAACTACATTGATAAAGTGTCCAAATTGTGAAGTATATTTTCTTTTCGATAAACAACTTATTAGTCACGTAAATCCCAGTCAATTTTGTTTGTTATTTTTAATATAGACGGGGAGGGGGTGGTGAAAAATTAAATGAAAATTATTTCTGTCTATCATTAAGGTTATTTCCGTGTGTAACTGATTAATTATGGCCCATATCCTTCAAATAAGTAATAAACCCTATATGGTCACGTAACAATATTCTTGAGTTATTTGAAAGACAGTATCAGCTTTGTGATAAGAAAATAAAATATACGGTCAGTACAACTGTATTCAATAAAACAACATGACATTAAAAATTTTGCTTGTATACATCACATAACCTTTTTCAAACCATCTTATGAAGTATAGTTATATTTATTAACTGATTTCATTTAGGTGACATGATTATTGAGGCTTACTCAGGCAGATAATCCTTTATATTGTATTCTGAATAGATTATCGATTGAGTGACCTTTTAGTGAACAGGTTTTGGGGTGAAATTAAACATGTTTTGAAGGATTGATCTTCCAAACCGTATGGTCTATATTTTATCTGGTGTATGGCTTAACAAAATCCAGAAAAGTGAAACAATATCATTGATCATTCAGTCGTTTAGTTGGTTATTTTGACTATGTAGTCTCTTTAGATTTACCACATTACCTAAAAGGCGAACTGAATATTTATTTTTCAAATTCAGTATGAAGTTGTTGAGTAACTCTGACTCCTACTATTCTTACCGTTCAAAAACGTTTGGTCACCGATTCATTCCAGTATATGCTAAAACATTCTTCTGATGAATAGTGAACATCAAATTTACGTAATTCACAGTTTAAACGAACTTTTTATTATTCACAGCCTAGTGGCATATAAATCATCATCATCATATAACGAAATGAAGACATCTGATTTCCGAAATTTTGTGTCATGAGTACTTGGTTAGAAGGACTTCATTAACAAAAAACTTAAATCCTAGTTCTTTATTTGTAACAAAACTTGTCCATCGAAGCAGTGATGAACGAAGGACAGTCTATTGCTATCTAGAACGATTGGATCAGACAAACTATTATGGATTAAACACGTTGATTAGGTTTATTAACTTTATTACATTATGAAAACTTAATTATTTTCATGTTTTAGTCTTTTTCGAAAGCCGTTTATTGTAGTAGTTAATATAAAACGCAAGATACTTCGGATCCGATGGCCAGACACTATCAGCAACAACCTTCTTTAGGAGAGAACAAACCAGATTCCATCCAACGGAGAAAGAAATCAGGAAGAAGCGCTGGAAGTGGATAGGACACACATTGAGGAAATCACCCAATTGCGTCACAAGGCAAGCCCTCATATGGAATCCTCAAGGCAAAAGGAGAAGAGGAAGACCAAAGAACACATTACTCTGAGAAATGGAGGTAGACATGAGAAGAATAAACAAAATTTGGATAGAACAAGAAAGGAAGGTCCAGGAGAGAATGGGTTGAAGAATGCTGGTCGGAGACCTATGCTCCATTGGGAGTAACAGGCGTAAGTAATATAAAACTCCCTCATTTTAAAAGTTTACTGAACGGTGAAAAATATTAGTTTCTATTAGCGTATTCAAATTAAATTATGAAAGAATATTCATTGAATAATCAATAAATTATATATATATATATATATATATATATATATATATATATATATATATATATACTTCTGCTTTCACCTAGTTCATTGGGCTAAACTCTATCTAAAAACCTAATTTATTCTCTCTTTTTTTATTCAATCACATTTCCATTTATTCATGTTCTTAGCATCAATCGGTTACAAGCTAGAATTAATTGATATTCACTTTATTCTAGGACAAAAGTGTAATTGTATTATGATAGAAACTATCAAACTTTTAATTGTTCCTTCAGTTAATTTTATTAGTAAGAAATTGAATAGAGCAATATATACAATCTGATATCATTTTAAAACAGCTCTACAAAATAAATGTTTGAAGATTATGATTTCTTGTAGTATGAGACGGACAAAACAAAAATAAGGATTAATTTAAAACTAAAATATTTACCAATCTGGCTTTCTTTAGTTTTCATAGTTGAAAGCGTGAATTAATTGAAGCTAGACCACCAGGGAAAACCTGGAATCACTGGACGGCCTTCTCGTCCTATTGCGGGACTCCTCAGCATCGCGCATCCACGGCCTCGCCTCACGAGATTCGAACTCAGGACCTACCAGTCTCGCGCCAGAGCACTTAACCGATAGACCACTGAGCCAGCATCCGATGGTGTTTATGTCTAACTCCAACCAATCCACGAAGTTGAGCAACCGTTCACTAATTATCTTCAGTGAATTTCAATCTCACAACGGACGTGGTTTGAATTCTACTGGTCACTGCTTCTCACTAGAACTCCTGGATTAACCTCTCGAAGTCAGTCACCAGTGAGCATATGACTACTATTATCAGAAGGGGTCCCACAATAGGACGAAACGGCCGTTCAGTGCTCCCAGGTTTTCTTTGGCGGTCTAGTTTCCATTGACTCACCTTTCAACTATGAAAATAATAAATCTCCACTAAAAACCCCTTGTGATAATACTTCAGTTTTGTTTACAGTTAAATAACGTGAACTCACTTCCTTACTCTTACACACAATTTACTTAGACTAATTTAATGCTTTGTGAACTTATTTCATAAGATCACGAATATAATGTTATTAAGAATAAAAACAAAATTGAATTCATTTATGACCAGTGATTTTATTGATTTTTGATAAAATTAACTGTAAAATAGTGACTATGAAAACGATTATCTTCGTCTATGTGTATGTAAAACTTCATGTAGATTACTATGTACAGTTGAGAAGTCATAGAAAATAATACTGTGATATAACAGTCATTTTATTTTATGAATTCAGATTTCCTGAAAATGAGTATCAAACAACTCACATGAGAATAAACTCAAGATTATTAGCTTCACTCCGGACAGAATGCATTTAAATTATCAAGGTAGAATCAATGGTATTTGTTTCCAAGTGTATTTGCAATGTAAAATGTTCCAATATCTTTGGTGAGGTATTAACTTATTAACTATTCGACTTAATCTTTTGGCTTTTGTTTCAAACATGAGCTTCTTACTATCCATCACAAATGAAACTTCTAATGACTAAACCTTCACTTGTATTAAATGAATAAATAAGTGAAGTTGGAAAGTATGACTAACTTTTTCCTATTTTACTTATGTTCAAGAATAAACACTGCTGATAAGTATGTACTAGAATCAAACTTTTCTCCAGTTTATCCCGGAGTCCAATTGTTTTTTTGCAAAACAACTCGTGGTGCAAAATGTTGCCCTATAAAAGTTAAACAGAAACTCCAGTTTCGCAAAATTCTATAACACTCTGTGCAGCCTATGCTCCTCCACGAGGGGTAACAGGCGTAAGTAAGTAATGTCGATTGAGCTGCTATAGAAAGTAACAGAACCATTAGCGTAAGCGAAGTCACTAATCAAGTGTATTATTTTCAAGTTATTCTAGGTACCAGTAAATTTGTATAATATTGGGTTTTTAACATTGATCCTGAACATACAATTTTGTACACTTCTTGATCTCTCCTGTCTATCTTCGTTATTTATGTATCATTAACTATGTATGTATCATTTTTATGTATCAATAACTAGACTACAAACCATGCAGAAAACCATATTCTGTTTAAATAAATCCAATAAACCAAGTAATTATTTGTATTTCATGACATATCAAGGAAGATGAACTATCGATCAAACCGTGTATTTTAAAGAAGCTGTAATTTTATTCATCATAATCTGTTTGATAGATCACTAATCAAACCATGTCTTTTTTAATTCATGGTGTAAAATTACATCACCACTTTGGTAACAGATTGTCAAGATTCATCTAGCTTATCACAGTTTTATGAAATATACCCAAACCTCAAGAATTAACATCAAAAATCAGTTCGAAAATTAAACTTTAATCATCATGAGTTTATTTCAGTTTCTTTGCTGACACTATTTCTATTATGAATCCAATTTCCGACGTGCTGAGGCTTAAATTGACATTAATAGATAAATCGTTTATTTTAACAGTATATATATATATATATATATATATTGCAATGAATGAGTGTTGAAGTTGTATTATAGCGACTTCCAAGAGCACAGTCTAACTTTATGTTAAGAAACATTAACCTATGATTTGACCAGTTTGTTTCTCTTAACAATAATGACGTAGAATACAAGGCAAACTATCTCAATGTTCATTAAAATCTTATATCCAAAGTATTGCCGAAGATCCTTATGAATATTAATATGGATTTAATTATAGTTTTTAGACACTGGAATTTGATGTATTAGGTTCTTAGTGATATATCATCAGAAATGTAGTGAGTTCAATGACCCTGTAATAAGGTCAATTCCTTTTTTGGAATAAAGTACCTCAATAGTAACATAACCCGCTGAATCTTTAAAGGTTTTGCATTATACACTGATTATTGGTAATAAAGAGTTACATTAACATCCAAATCAGCCATTTTATTCAATTTAGTTTGCAATGACTGTAATCCTTTAAGAGGTAACTTATACTCTGAATTAACGTTTAACTTTCATCAATGATTATCATTCCAGTTAGATAAACCCACTTATCTAGCTACACTATTTCCTAACAATGATTGAAAATAATAAATAAATAAACAATCCAGCAATATCACATTATGTTTTGCAACAATCAAATTAACAGCAAAACATTATTTCAGTAGTATACATAATTATGTACAGTATTAAATTTTATTTTATTTTTTTACAACAAAAGTGGTTGTATGTATGACAGAAAAGAAAAAGTGTACTTCATCTCTTACTTAATCATCTCAATCATAAACAGTATTCATTTATTTACGACAAATATATTTTCTTTCCACATTGATTTATGATAACATTGTTATTCTCTGCTCTTCCATTGTTGTTGTTGTTGTTGTTGTTGCTATGTATTTATTGTTTTTCCCATTTTGGTCATAGATATATGTGGTTAAATTAATTAATTAATTGATTGATTGAATATCTCTGATAATAACTATTGTATCTTATCAATCCGGATGATTCAATTTTTAATTTAATCAAAAATAATCAAAATATTTTCAATCATTTTAAACAACAAAAAAGAAAGATTTTTTTTGAAAGATCTCCATTGTCATTGTCAAATACAACCAGTTTGAATGGAATTATATTTAAATGTTTGATAATTTTCTTCATTAATTTGTACAAAAGAATATTGATGACTTTGTTGTGGATAATGATGATGATGATATGGATTATGTTGTATGGTATCATCATATGATTGTTTAAATGATGGAGAATAATTTAGATTTTGTTGTGAAATAGGTTTCTGTGTAATGGAATCATGAAATTCATGAATTTTTGTTGTATCCGGTAATTTGATTGTTGGTTTATCATGAATTAAACATGGTAAATTTATAAAATGATAACATGATTGTAACCAATGTTTTGCTTGTGCTCTAAATTGTGGACCACTTAAACAATATAATAAAAAGTGTACAGCAAAATTCGTATACCATAAAACATAAACAAATCGTTCAATACCAAAAACTAATACACCTCTAATCAATTCATCTTTTTCAATCCATGTATTTAAATTAAATGCAAAATATATTACATCATAAACAAGAAGTGGACATACACTTATCATAAAAAACATATTAATTGCTAATAACATTGCTGTCAATGATGAAGATCTATTCATATTTGAACGACCTTTAATAGAATTCTTTACACAATGTTTTAATGCATTTGATTTACATCGTTTTCTAGGATATTGTATACCACTGATATTTGTTGACATATCATCATTTAAACGAGTGTCATTTGTTAATTTGCCTGTTGTCAAAGCGCATGCACATTTTAATGATCCTTGTGTTGGTTGCTGTTGTTGTTGCTGTTGTTGCTGCATTGAAGCATGATTTAAAAATAAACGATTCTTTTGTCGTTTTTTATTAAAATCACTCATTCGTTTTAATTGTATTCCAATTAATCCATTAGCTATTAGCATAAATAAACATGGAATTACACATACTAATAATAGATCAATATATGGAAATATAGTTTGTGTAAAATAACTCGGTGTACATTTATAATAAGTAGTATTTATTGTAGAATTCATTGTATCAATATTATAATTCATTGTCCAAAAGAAATGTGAATCAAATACAAATAATATAATGGTTATACTGAAAATAGTTAACCATGCATTACGTGTTGTACATACACGTTTAGCATTAAATGGTTGTACAACCCATATAGCTCTATCTACAGTTACTGATACTAATAACCATACACTTAAATAAGCTAATGTATAACTTAAATATGGTGTTAAAATACATGAAATCAATGAATAATGCCTAATATCACTTGGAAATAAAAATGTATAATTAATGATAGTAACTAATAAACCAGTAAGTAAATAAAATATATCAACAATAGCTAATACAGTTAAATATATTAATGTACTAGATTGTTGTAAACGTTTTGATTGTAATATAACTACAGTTAAACCATTACCAAATAAACCAAATATTAATATTAATAAATAGAAAGGTATACAAATATTTTTAATTAATATAACTAAAGTTGGAAGATTCATAGTTGAATTAGTTGTATGATTAGTATCCATGTGAAGGGTTGATAATATTCCATGAAGATAAAATAATTCTGAAAACAAAAGAAGAGAAAAAAAGGATATAGAGATTATGTAATCAATTTGATTGATTTATTAAAGTAGTTTAAATCAGTACGCTCCTATATAACTGGCTCCACAGGAGCAGTTGAATTAGTAAATACACATAGATGTGGCGAATTCAGGCAATCTGTCTTTATTAACCGTTCTTATTGTGGAGCGGTTGTAGAAGACGGTACTCAGTCGAGCTGAATTAAATGTATTCTGTACTACCTTTCTTAACCTCTGTGTTATATAGGGCATACAACTTGGCAAATTCGTCAACGAATAAAGAGAACACCATCCGTCGTGGTCGAGTAAAGGATAGGTAAAGGTGATTAAGAGTTCTATTCTCGTTCACTTAGTGGACACAGATCATCAAGTTGAACTGAATAAAGTTTTTAAAGTTAGCTATCATATTCCATCAAATTTGCCGCATGATTTACGAGATCGTCTGTTGCACATAAATGAAGTCAACGCAATCCATATTTACAAACCGAAACTTTGTATACAAAAGAAGTTTGTACAACCACTCTCGCTACCTTGATCATCGGTATAGCGGAGTTTGTAGCAGAACTTTGGTAAACAATCATTTTATTCCTTCCATTTTTGTATTTTATTTATTCTCTACATTTGTCTCTTGATTCTTACATAACTACTACATTACTGACCGTTCATCTTTCTTCTTTTTTATGTATTATGCAACGTAGCAACAGCTTGATTTTCGAATAATAACTTTGATTAATATTAATCCTTTTCTTCCAACTAATTAATGTTAGTTTATAATTGATATGTCATTATATAATTATTGCGTAAGATATCTACTCGAAGAGTGTTATTTCATCATTGTAAATCATATATATTAGTGTAGAGCGTTGATGAAAAACTAATTGAAAAGAAATTTCTTCGCGCGATTCGTTCCTTTTTAAAATATTTTAAACCAGTACCAATTCCTGGTATTATTAGATTTTCACTTGTTATGGTTGCTTTGTGAAGATATGAAATTATGTAAAGACATTTGAAATAGCTGTTATATCAATTGCATAAGTGTGTGCATGCCCAGTTGATATATATGACGTTATGAGATCGCTAATTAGAGAGGAGTGAATTATCAATCAGAGCTATGATACACAAAAGCCGTATGAGCAGTCTCGAGTATTTATCAGTCCTGCTTCTGCCTAGCCCAGTCAATTAAGTCCAGAACATCAATAACAGCCTCTGCAATATGAATCATTATTCTCAAACATACTGGGTTTATATACCGAAACCACTGACCACATCGTACCATGAAATAGAAAATAACATCTTTACAAGATTTAGTCAAATGGGGCTGTGAACAGGGGGTACAGTAATCAATAGACTGGGTATGACTCAAGAAATCGTAAATCGTACAATAATAGCCTATAGATCAAAATAAAGTTTATAATAAGAGGGATATGAATATGAATAGCTAAACTACTTAACAATTATAAACTTATAGATATACATATCATATTGGTTCATAAATAATTCTCAAAGTTACCATTCATAAGTCTCAACGGGATATAACAGTAGCAAATATGTTAACTGGAGAATTAATAAAGATAAGTGAGGGCTGGAATATAGGTTTTATTACAGTTCATGATTTAATGAGTTATTGAAATATAAACATTCATCTTATATGACGACCAGAATTTACATGTAATTTATTAGGAAACTAGGATAAATGAAAGAAACTTTATATGAAGATAAGAAACTATTCAATGAATAAACTGGATGAGAATTTTGATGGACCACAAACTAATTCAGATCTCAAAGAAAAAGAAATGTAATATGGAATATCGAATAACTGCCTTAATGAATAGGGTCTATCCTTCTGAAGTAAAGTTCAAAACTAAGGCTAAATAGCTATCTAGTGCTTTTTGGTTTCTAAAAACCGCTATTTAGACCTAACAAAAGCTGAATAAAATAGATGAATAGTACAAGTTAACCATCATTGAATGATTTTATTCAGTGAAGTTGATTACATTAAAAACAAGTAATAGAAATTTCAATATAAACTTAACGTTTAACAAACAAATTTACTAGAATACATATTTAAGTCAAGCAGTGCGTGAACTAAAAATGAGATGATTGAGACTTACATACAGACTCTCAAGTATGACGGAAATTCAGATCCCTCTCTCTTACTACATATATATATATATATATATATATATATATATATATAATTTTTATGGTGTAGGTGCACCACTCGCTCAGTGTAATGACAGACACATGAATATAAGGTTACAGATCGGAACATAAGTAATTGCGTGGTATTTGTTACGTCAGGAAGTTTGAAAGGCACTTACAGTTTAGTAATTTATTTCTATGTTAGACTACATTTCATAGTAACATGGTCTTGAGAATGAGCTGTTAGTACTACTATATAATTAATGCAATGAAATATGACTTTATAAGGCTTACTAGAAATAGGCTTTCAACTATTTAATTCAAAGATAAATTGTTTTGGAATTTTTTATTATTTCGTTATTTGATAAACAACAGTTAATTTCTGTTTACTCAATAAAGTTATGTATTCATTTTGGTGAAATTTTCAGTTTTAACTTACAGGTCAAAGGTAAATAAATTGAACTATTCTTATGTTTTTAATTTGAAAGGATTTATTAGGATTATTAAATTTCATGATCTATATCAAAAATGGATTTAAGTTAAAGAACGGTTGAAGGCCAGGAAGCACAACAAAGATGTTGCATCCAGCTGTAGGACTCCTATTCAGTGCGCATCCACCGCAACACTGGGGATCTAACCTGAACCTTGCTGGTTTTCAGTTTTTGTTTAATTAAGGCCAACCCGTGATGTCAACTATCAAACCCAACAATTTCTGTGATTATCTCATATTAATAATAATTATGTGCTCATAAGTGACCGATGTTGAGAAGTAATTCCTCGATTATTAATGCGAAATTTTAACGACTGTAGTCTAACCATGTCCACCGCAAGACAATTTCTCTCTAATGACATTCAAATATGTTGCTCATTATCACAAACTGATTGGTGTTCGATATATAAACCGTCGAATGCAGACACAGCAGTTGAATTAATAAAAACTCACCGCGAGACCTAGAAGTCTAGCATTCGATCCATGAAATGTTCATGAAAGTACATCTCTGAGGAATCCCATACCATGATGAAAAAGATTTCCAGCGCTATTTAGTCTCCATTGTTCAATGATTCTTAAAAAGTTCTATAGAGGTATGCTTATTATGATGAATATTGACTCGAAAACCAGTGCTTGCTAGCTTTAAATTGCTCGCTTATTTATGTTAGTCTATGTATAGATTCATTCTCAAATACATTTTTATGTATTTATGAATCTCCATAAAAGATATTGGATGGATTGATCCATAATTTGATACAACATAATTTTGGTGGTATTATATATTCTGAGTTAAATGTTTCAAAGACAATGCATTCATTGCCATTTGAGATAACATGGTCAATAATGTTTAATTTTCTATAAAACATAACAACGTAAAATGAATAGATCAGATGTGAATTGACAATCTGAGCCATAAACCTACTTAAAGTGATTTTTTCTTTTACTTATCGCATTTTGTTACGTTCAAGTTTAATTGATCCGTCTATTACAACAGGAGGTTATTTCAAAATAATTTTCTATCAATTAGTAGTATGAAAAATGTTAATTTACCACAATCATAATGTGAGTTGCAGTGGATTTGTTTGGCGAACTAACTAGTATATATATATATATATATATATATATATATATATATATATATATATATATAGAGAGAGAGAGAGAGTGAGTGGGAACATGAGGTCAATCATCTCTAGGATATTTTATACCCTATCAATTTTCGATCAAATTATTTTCTTACCCTTCATTTACAAAAGGGATAGTTAAAATTATTATTATGAAAAAGCATCATCAAAACCACGTCTGTTGTGAGATAGGAACTCACTGAAGACAATTGGTGAATGGTTGCTCAACTTCGTGGATCAGTTGAAGTTAGACATTAACACCGTTGGATGCCAGCTCAGTGGTCTATCGGTTAAGGGCTTCGGCTCGAGACTGGTAGGTCCTGGGTTCAAATCTCGCTCGCGAGAGTGGGTTCGTGGATGCGCACTGCTGAGGAGTCCCATAATAGGACGAAACGGCAGTCCAGTGTTTCCAGGTTTTCGATGGTGGTCTAGCTTCAATTGACTCACGCTTTCAACTATAGTAAACATCATATAATTGTTTATACAACTAATAAGTAAGATTGTGTGGAGTATTAGGCATTTGACTCTTTAGATATCAACTCATTTAATGTGTTATAAACATTTTTATCCCTGGACTTTTTATCATAATGACAGAGTAAGGAAAAAAATGAATGTTCTATTTTGGAGACTTATTGTACCTAGCTACTGTGATCTAAGATAATGTACAAATAACTTGGATTTTTAATATTTGAATTAATAAGTCGATTGAAGCTAGGTTACCATGGAAAACCTGAAAGTACTGGACGGCCGTTTCGTCCTAGTATAGTACTCCTCAGCAGTGTGCATCCACGGTTCCAGGTTTTTCATGGTTATCTAGCTTCAATCGACACATGAATTCAACTGTTAAAAATTACTACAATATCCATAAAACCCCATTCTGATAATTTTTTTAAATTATTTGTTTGTGATTTTTTGTTTCGGACTATTGTTCATTAGGAACTCATGATCAAGTTGTTGACATATCAACTTGACTCTCTGTTATATCTAGAGCTTTGGTTCTTACAATACCGCGTACTACTAGACTACTTGAACGATCGAACTCGCAACGTCGCAAGAGAGACGACAGGAGACTAGTAAGTAGGAATTTTATCCCCCAGAGCAATATCAAAATATAGTAAAAAAATCTCAATTATTTGTAGTTTTTTGGATGAAAGTAAATCATCATTTTGGACAGCCAATAGGCACATAAGGGTTCATTCTCATCCATCCAATTGGGAAGCTACACATC